TTTTTTTTTAGTAATCTATGATTTAATTCCACAAAGTAGATCCGGTTATGTTTGATACTGTATGTAAAACTTCTTGTAAACACTGATACTAGAAAAAGAATTATTTTTTTATTTTTTATTCTGGGTTTTTGTTTTCATGTGTTTGATGCATGAACACAAAATGTTGAATTATGAAAAAGAAATATACGATTAATTTTTGATTCTTTTATGGATTTTAATTTGTTTTGTTCTCTTGCAAAATTCTAATTAGTTATTAAATCTTGCCCCATTTAAGAAGTGTGATAATGATCACCTAAACATGAGGTTAATATCGGCAAGAAATAAGAAAATTTTGCTTAATCAGATACTATATCAAACCAAACTAAACTAACATCATTTTAGCGATTCATTCAGCTTGTGCTCAATTTAACTATTTTATCTTGTACGTTCTACCTTTAAGTAATTATTCTAAGTTCAAACTTTTGTATAATTTTGTTCCGAATATTTTTGTAGGTTACAGCGAAGTGCTGTTAGAGAACATATATTATAACATAACATAAAATTTGATTCCGAAAAAGTTTGGCTTTATAATGAATTGTTGTTATAGTGAATTGTTGTTATATATGATCGATGTTATAGAGAAGTTTGGCGTTACATGCTTCTGAGTGAATATTTTGTGCTAATTTAATTTTAATATGGTAATATAGATGTTTTAATTAAGTGCGGAACTTACGCTGCTAAGTCAAGATTTAAAACTTACAAGCTGTAGCTTACAGAAAAATGAACGTTTCCAGGCTGTAGTATAAGTAGCACAGCACATGTGAGCACTAACTTTTGCTTCGATACATGAAATGGTCGGTCCCAAATATTACTTCATTGTCATAACCACTTTTAGTAATTACAATTGTGAAGGAGAGGGGAGTACCGAATCAACGATAAAATTATGGGATTTTTATATAAATAGCAAGTTATATTCATTGTTTATTTTTCTATCTCTATACATAAATTATATATTGATTATACATATATTAAGCATAAATTATATATATATATATATATATATATATATATATTATAATTTCGTCGGCTATTTTTTATTTAAGCAATTGAATGAGCGACTAATCAAGTTAATTATCTTCGTATGATTTATAGGTTATGAATTCGAACAGGAAAATCAGTCACTAATGCTTGCATTAGGTAGACGATCTTCATCACGTCCCTTGGAATGCGGCCCGTTCCACGAACCTATGTGAATATAGAATACTTTATGCAGTGACTGGCCTGCTTTTTTTAATTGCTAGAGGAAGAATCTGGAAATAAGTATAAAAAATAGTTATTCACTTCAACTCCAAGTATTTGTCTTTTGGTTAATTGAATGTTTTCAAAACGTTTGACGTTTTATAAAAATAAGAATAAAAAGAATGATGTGACCTATAATATACCCTTATCAAAGTTCTGGTCTCGATTTCGAATTTTGGGAATGGATTTTTTTTTTATTATTTTATAAAAAGAGCTTTATTTCACTTTAGTAGGCATATTTAGTGCGAATTCAGATTAATCAAATTAGCAGGTTCCAGATATTAGATGCTTAAAGTAAAAAGAGACACTCCTTTTTGCTACACCATAGGAAATAACTAATCGATGTACAAGTATGGAAATATTAAAATGTAAGTACAATAATTCGTCAATTCGAACAAGTAAAATAAATAGTACATCTTTAATATTGAAAAGTGAAAAGAAAAGGGAGTCTGTCTAGGACAACAAATCTAGGTAAAAAAAAAATGCCTATTAATAATTAGATATGTAATCCTCAGCAGCGAGCTAATTGAACACGGATTCTTTTTTAGATATTATTAAAGTGATTGCAATGAAATTTAGTTATCATCTAATAAGATATTAGACTATCAATATTTAATTGCCAAAAATTAAGTTTTATGCACCAATAGTGTAAAAAATATTCACAATATTAAGTCATTTATAAGATATAATTACATATAAATCTTTATAATGATATGAATTGATAACTTGATATATGACTACAGTATATGCAAACTAATATGACTATATATATTTTAAAAAGAAATCGACTCTATATATGTATACTAGTAGATGTTACCCGTGCATGGCCCAAAGTGAAATTTAAAATTAGACAATTTAGCTGTAAGGTAGGCATAATTAAGCACTATTACCGAGTATCAAGTAAAGATTACAAAAGAACATGTGTTATCATTTCTATCTATTGTTATTACTTGCTCATAATTTGCAACAATATAATCAATTTCAAAGAGCAACTCCGATTAGTCAATAAAAATAAGGAAACACTACCAATAACTTTTCCTTTCACATGTACATAATAAGAGACTTTCTGCACTGCAGATCATGATATAAAAGTACTTAAGGTCTCTAGTCTTATCCATTTCACCAAAAGCATATAACCATACAGATTGAATACACAATAATATAAAAAAGGTTTGCATCTTAGAGCACATAAAGAACACCATCTGATTCATAGAAAATGTCATGATAAAGCCTTTTTGAGCATCTAAATTACTTCAGGAGCTCCCTCTCATAAATAAGTGTCATAATCATAACTTTAACACACTCCAATAATTAACAATTTACATCTCCAAGTGAACATGACAATCACTTATCCATGGCGGAAGCAGAGTATTGCAGATATCCCTTAAACTGTAAGAGGAACCTCTCTAGAATTGAGATATTATTTCACGAAAACATACTTGCAACCAGTATTTTAAAAGGCGTGGGCGTAAGGCGGGGCGTAAGCCCCATAGGTATTTAATTTTTAATATTTTATAAAATAATATAATGACAATTAATATTTATAAACAGGTAAAATTGCATAAAAATTGAAGAAAACTATATATATGTGTGCTCCATCCCCACAAAAAAACTAATCAAAACAATCTATTATACGTTACTTACAAGTACAAGTAATTTGAGTCTAAAAGAATAAAGTTTTCTATATGGAGGAACAAAAAGGATGATTAACTGCAATTTGAACTTTGAATTTGCTGCTATGAAGAAAAATGTAGTTCTCTTTGTATTTGTAAAAAAAATAAATATTCGTTCCTTTTGGGAGATATTAGCAGACTAGCGGATAAGATAAAAATTTGAAAAAACCATGAATTAGGGCTTAAATCAATAAAAAAGGTCTTTACTTTTAAATTTAATACTTTTGAGTAATTACCAAACTTACTTTTGAGAATTTGGGTATTATATGAAGGACTAATTCAATAAATTTTGTTTTAATTTAAAAAGGTCTCTGGGGCTTACTCCTTACTAAAAAAACATGCCCCGAACGCCCGGACGTACGCCCCAAATTGCGGGGCGTACGCCTCTTGAGACTTTCGCCCCACACTATCGTCCCGGGGCTCGCCCCAAAAGCGCCTTTTAAAACAAAGCTTGCAACCATCACAAGAAGCAGTGTCTATAGGTCCATCAATTAATGGTACCTTTACCTTTTACTTATAAAAAAGGGAGGGTCCACCAATGGTACTTGACAAACTATAAGTATGAGTGACTAAATAAAATCAGAAGCATTAAAATATTCAGTGTAAATAATAAATCAAGATAAATGAGAATGTGTTGAAATATTCCGTCAAAACGCGCAAAAAGCACATAGTTGCTACTGGTTGTCTATTTTTCTTATATTTATTAGTTTATTGATACTTCCAATTTTAAAAATGGTACAGATGTGCTGACATAAATAAAAGGCAGCAAAGTGATCCAAGTAAAAAAGAATTGTAATACTACTATTACCTGCCCACTATCCTCCTCCTCCTCATCATCATGGACCTCAGAATTTGGCCTCTAAGATTCTTCTTTGCCCTTGCAGTTGAGCATTTTTGTCAGTTAAATGGATGAAGAGAGAACATGGAAAGCCCCCCTTTACAACTTTATGATAATCACGAAAAGCCAAACTACTACTTGTTGTAAGCAGTCATAAGCTTTTCATACTTCGCCTTCATGATAAAAATCAAGTCAAAATGAAGAAATGAGCTGGGAATCAAACAAATATTAGCTTGCATACGCAACTAACAGTAACAGATGAGTTGGAAATCATCTCCTTGATGGAATACTTCTATTTTTTTTCCTTAGTTTTTACTTTGGAATCTAAATCTTCGCAAGAGATGCAATATTTATTGTTGTTAGTATCAAACTTTTTGCGGTTTGGGCTCCTTATATCATGCCTTGCAAAATCTTTTGGATTCACAATATTATAGTAGTGCTTGATAAAAAATTAATATGCAGATGCAATCATTAGCATCCGTTAATTAGATGTAATAGTACCTTTCTCGAAACATATCAAGTTAATTTTTAGACATCATGAAAAGCAAAGAAGTTGAGGCTTAAGATTTTTCATGTGCTTTGCACTAGGATGAGAGACGAGAGTGGGTTGCTGTAGTGGTGAGCACCCTCCACTTCCAATCAAGAGGTTGTGAGTTTAATTCACCCCAAGAGCAAGGTAGGGAGTCCTTGGAGGGAAGGAGTGTCACGACCTAAAATCCCACCACAAGCGTCGTGATGGCACCTAGTCTCTAAGACTAGGTAAGCTGATTTCTATTACATTTTGAAGCCATTATTTATTTATTTATTTAAAGTCTAACAGCGGAAATAATTATAATACACAACCTCCCGAGACTGGTAGTACTGAGTCACGAACTCTGCTGAATACATGGAATGATCACGAGGACCGAATATACAAATACTATTTGATTACAAATTAACAATACAATGAAAAGAAAAGACTCCAAGGGACTACGACGACCAAACAGCTCAACCTTGAATCCTTACAATCCCGCTTTAACTCTGCTCAGGTTCGTTATCTTCAATACCTGGCTCTGCACAAAAATGTGCAGAAGTGTAGAGTGAGCACACCGCATCGGTGCCCAGTAAGTATCAAGGCTAACCTCAATGGAGTAGAGACGAGGTATAATCAAGACACCCACTAGTCTAATAACCTGTGCAATATAATATAAAAAATAATAAAAAATAAATAATAATAAGGGCAGGATAAAACATCCCGTGATATACACAACAGACAACAAGAATACCATTAATATCACTCAACAATTAATAAACACAATTACACCCAATTAAAACAAGCCCTTCAAATAAATATATTTCACATAATTCTTCCAGATAACTCTCTTTCAAATATAATTTTCTCAAATAATTATTTTTTTCAAATATAATTCTTTCAATAAATCTTTCCAAATACAATTTCCTCAAATAAATATCTTTCGAAATACAATTCTTTTATATAATACTTTCTAAGTAAAAATCCTTCCAAATAAATATTTTGAATATAATTCTTTCAATTAAAAAGTCACCATGTGACACCTCATTTCAAAATCATCAAAATACGGGTCTCAACCCATTTTCATATTTTTCGTAAATACGGATCTCAACCCATTTTCATATTTCCACGATTAAATCATCATATTTGTCCGGCACCTCGTGCTCTCATTTCATATCACAACTGCACGGACAATTCACGTGCCAAATATCATTATCATTTCATCACAACACCTCGTGCCCACATTTTTATATCACAACTGCACGAACAATTCANAGAAACTGAACATACATATTGGGGAAACAGTATTCTGGTAAAGCTTCCAATCTGAAACATGTGCCACTTCAAGTCATATGCAATGGATGCAACATTTTCTTACACCATTTACTGTTTATACAACTTGACAGAATATTTAATTCCATGTAACAAGCTATAGTAAAATCAAGGAGAGATTCATCAATTAAATTAAGAATATACGATGACTTGGCCCAAAAGTATCATAGCTTACGTGTATACATAATAAACAAAGTAAAAGCCAAGATGAGAGTCCCCATTAACTAATGACATCTAGTGGGACAAAACTACCATTTGCTGCTAATAAGCTGCAGATCTCTACACTGATGTTTTTGGAATAGAAAATAAAATGGCAAACAAAAGAATGCTCAAGCCCACATTTCATTTTATAAACCGTACATGCTCCCAATTTCAACATAAATTAGATTATTATCAATTTACTAACAACTAGACAAATTGCACAATGTATAAAAATAAACACAAGAAAAGCACATCACATGAGAATTGTCAACACCACAACCCCACATCATCACATATCTTCCCTGGCAATAGCCACCCTTGTCGCTCCGTCCAGACAATATCAATAGCCACCCTTATCGCTCTGCCCAGACAATATCAATAGCCAACAAACGCAATAGTGAAATGCCACCCTTATAACCACATAATATCAACGGTGAAATGTCACCCTTATCTCCCCAAAATAACAACTCACACAACACAACAATTTACACGGAAAATATCACAACATAACAAAAATCAATTCATATCACAATTTACCCAATGGCCACAACCAAATTTCAAAGCTACAACCAAGTCAATTAATTTCACAGCAAATAGCCAAATGCTCCACACAATGTGTACAACACCCAAAAATAATCAATAGATATAGAAATTACTCAACATAAAGCAAAGTCTTAAAAAAAGATCAAATTTTCAATAATTGTATAAACACATCTTCTTAAGCTCATTTAATTAATTATTTGCAGAGGAAAAAATTCAAAATGAAATTAAATTCTAATAATTATAAAACCAGCAAATTCACAAAATTTCATAAATAATCAAATAACAATCACATCACATTGTCATATAACAACAGAGTCAACAAGGGTTTAGGAACGATAAGTAAATGATTAAATATATGGCAACAATTATCCATTTTACTACACAATATGTTCAAGACTTTAACTCAATAAAATTTGCACATATAAACCAAGTACGTACTCGTCACCTCGCGTACATGGTTTTCAATTACCCAAGTTGCACATAAGACTCAATGCCTAAGGGGAATTTTCCCCACTTGAGGTTAAGCAAGACACTTACCTTTTGAAGTTAGACCGATATTCCAAAATCGCCTTCTTGCTTGAATTGACCTCCGAGCCGTTCAAATCTATCCAAATTAATTATATAACTTCATTAAAATTCATCGAAAATAATTTCGGATAATAATACGTCGATTTAAAAATTTATTCCAAAAAGTCAACAAAAGTCAACGCGGGACCCGCCCCTCGGAACCTGACATAATTTTCATGAAATCCAAACACCCATTCCGATACGAGTTCAACCATACCAATTTTATCGAATTTCAATAACAAGTCAACCTCTAAATCTTAAATTTTCGTTTTTGGAAGATTTTGTAAAAATCTTGATTTCTTCCATTTAAATCCGAATTAAGCGATGAATATAATCATAGAGTCATGAAATATAATCACTTTAGGATATAAAATACTTACCCCAACCAAGCTTGTGAAGAATCCCTCCATAATCGCTCAAATCCGAACTCCAAAAATTCCAAAACGAAATGCCAAAAATGACCAAGTTCAATCCTTATGTTTCTGCCCAGTTTCGCACCTGCAGACTGATTTTCCACATCTGCAAGCTCGCTTTTGCGAGCCAATTCTCGCTTATGAGACGTCCACTGGCGCTGCCCTCGCACCTGCGGAAGAGTTTCCGCTTCTGCGCTCACGCAGGTGCGGGAAATTCTTCGCACCTGCGGCCTTAGTCCAGCCTAGCCAATTTCGCTTCTGCGAGCTTCTTCTCGCTTCTGCGATCGCCCAAAATTGCACAGGTGCGAATCCAACAGATGCTGCCATTTTCCAGCAGCTTCTTCCAAGTAAGAATTGCTCCATTAACCTTTCGAAATCCACCCGAGGCCCCTGGGACCTCAACCAATTATACCAACATGTCCCAAAATACAATACGAACTTAGTCGAGGCTTCAAACCACATCAAACAACGCCGAAATTATGAATCGCGCATCGAATCGAATTATAAGTTTTCAAATCCTCCAACTTCTATATTTTGCGCCGAAACGTATCAAATCAATCCGGAATGACTTCAAATTTTGCACACAAGTCATAATTGACGTAATGGAGCTATTCCCATTTTCGGAATCGAAATCCGACCTCGTTATCAAATATTCATCCGTCGGTAGGATTTTTCAAAATCTTTTATTTTTCAACTTTCGCCAAAATGTGTCGAATTGTCCTACGGACTTCCAAATCCAAATCCGAACATACGCCTAAGTCCGAAATTATCATACGAAGCTATCGCCATCATCGAAATTCCATTCCGGGGTCGTTTGCTCAAAAGTCAACTCCCCGGTCAACTCTTTTCATTTAAGCTTCAAAATGAGAATTTTTCTTTAAATTAAATTCGAATCTTTCGAAAACCAAACTCGACCGCACACGCGGGTCATAATACATATTGCGAGGCTGCTCGAAACCTTAAGTCACTGAACGGGGCGTAAATTCTTAAAACGACAAGTCAGATCGTTACAAGGAGCCGAGGGTCTATCGGAAACAGTCTCTCTACTCCAGGGTTGGGGTAAGGTCTGCGTACACACTACCCTCCTCATACCCCACTAGTGAGATTATACTGGATTGTTGTTGTTGTTGTTTGCACTGGGATGAGACATCCATATATATGGAGACTCTAAAGGATGCGCTAAATTTTCATATTTGAGAACATCCAAATATCACTTTTTTCCTTTGGGAAGTTATCAATCAGACTCAAACTAAAGGAGATTATTTTTCTAAACAAATCTTTAAAAAACTTGTGATTACCAAGCTTAGCATATAAGTGACCCGTAACCTCCATAGCAGAAATCATTACACTGCTAAGACCAAAAAGAGAGTACAATATTACCTTGATATCATCAAATCATTTGGATCAAGTACACTCCTTAAGTTATGAGATTGTCTTCGTGTAGTCGTTTCCTCAGGATATTTCTCAGGAATAATGAGACCAGCGTGAGTGCAACCACAGGTACCCTCCACTTCTTCCAATATACAGTAACATAGAAAATTTAATTAGCAGAACATCAGGACCAACAATGTATATAAAATTAAATAAAAAAATTTATTAGCTTAATTAGAAAATAAGAAGTTCATTCCTTACCTCTCTATATGAGCCACCCATCAAGCACTATCAAGTAGTTTTCCTTGGCCTGTTGGCCAGAAGAAAACCCTGCATTCCATCGCCTTAGGATTCTCATCATCGGGATAACTGCTTAGCTTCTTTTTTCTTTCCTATGCATTATCTCCAGCAGAGGCGGATCCAGGATTTAAATCCTATGAGTTCAATTTTAAGGTTTTTAATATTGAACCCATTATATTTTTAAAGTTATGGGTTCATATCTATTATTTTTGCAATTTTAATGAATTTTTACATACAAATTTTTACTCTACGTCGAAAGTTATGAGTTCAGTTGAACCCGTAGTCAATACATTACATCCGCCTCTGATCTCCAGAGCAAGTTCACCTAGCTCACCTCCAGATTACTTTGAAAAACCATCTTATGTGTAATATTGTTCAAAAGTAGAGTTCATCTATCCTTCCGGTTCAACTGGACTTGGTTCAAAAGGGAGGTTTGTGGAAACAAATCATAAATTCGTCAATGAAGTAAATAAAAAATACCAATTAAACTAAGTTTTAAGGCATGGTCTACATTGAATGGGGACAATAATGAGAGAACCTCAAAAGCTTAGTCAATCACAAGAACTACTTCGCCTAAGGACCAGACACTTCTTGTTGTACTTGAATCCCCTATCAGCAGTGTCGTCGCTAGGCTAATATGTTCTCTAGGAAATCCTATTAAAAGTTATTTCACCTTAAAAATATTATTTTACCAAATTTAAATAAAACAAATATATATTTTGATATATGCACCAAAGTATCTATTCCCAATTCCCAAACATGCATATGCAGAAGAGGCAATAAATAATGACATGCGTGTATCAAAATAAGGAAAAATGAACACAACTATTGAAATCCCATCACCAAAAATTGGTGCAAGAAAGAAAACAAAAGAAGAAATAAATAAGAAAAAAGTCACTGCAAATTTAGTAACATGCATGCGCCAGATACATTTGAGTACTACACCAATTATATCAAAACAATACTTCAAGCAGCATGAGCTAGCTTTCCAGCTTTACGAAGCTAAGAAAGCAATTACCTCTTTCAGGTATGATGTAACTTTCCTTTATAATTTCCAAGCATATGCTAAACTGCAGTGGCGGAGGCAGGATCTCGGCGAAGAGGGTTCAAGAAAAAAAATATCGTAGCTAGTGGAAATTGAACCTATGACCTTTCAAAGATTTTGAACCCCTTGACCACTAAGCTACACTTTTGAAAAGTTGTGTCAAGGGGGTTCAAAACTTAATACATATAGATGTAAAAGACAGATTTTGCCTTATATATACAGTGTAATTTTTCGGCGACCCCCTTTCGCCCCCTAAATCCGCCCCTGTGCTAAAGTACTCGTTGTCTATTATCTTCAAAGAATGAATACGGTATTTTCAAGGAGAACACTAAGTTGACATATTTCTGTTACAAAAAAATCATACAGTTCACATCCAACTACTGAATTACACGTGTTCACAATAAAATCACAAATTGTCAACATACCTTATACTGCATGTATCAACATTTCTCCTTCTACATAATTGACAGTCATGTCATGTATGATAAGAACACTTTCCTTCAAAGCTACTCTGTAATCTATATCCCGAGCAATGTTAAATGGCCTGATTCTATAAAATGCATAGGGTTAATTCAAGACTATGGCTGTAACGTGAAAAACCACCACTACCCCAAAATCATTTAGTTTAAGGACACGCACCTAGGTATTTCTTTCCAAACATGAATATCAAAATCAAATAAAATACAAGACATGCATGTAGAAATCTTGCAAGAAATTATTTAAAAGAGCAGAGAAACCAACATCAAACAAAAAATACACAGAAATTTCAAAGAAATCTATAAGTGAAAGCCAGAAAACGGTGCAAGAAATAAAAAAAATAGGGGGAAAAACTTACCAGACTTTTACAAACACAGTAGATGCTAGAAGATTGTAGCAAGCATAACGTAAAATCGGAGAAACAAAAACAGAATTCATGAACTAAATATAAACATAAAAAGAGAACAGAACTCAAAAATATAGATCTAGAAAAGCCCAGAAGAATTGAACCACTCACCTAAAGAAAGATGACATCTTGAACTTCTCCTTCAATTGTTGAAGTAGCAAAGCATGAAAAAAAATAGTAGAGTAGCGAAGGAGAGAGAAACAGAGAATTAGGAATTTAGGAGAGTGAAAAGCTGGATTGTTAGAGTTTATAGCATCTTAAATGGCGGTACACATGGTATTGTAAAATAATGGTGAATACACGTGTTAATTCCCCAAATAGGTAGGCCCAAGCATAATGTACAATTCCCAAAGCATAATGTACAATTTGAAGGTGCAATGTTCGTGCATCCAAACTCCAGCTTCTAAATAATAATATAATAGTAACAAGTCGAATGTTATAGTGTGGGTGCACGTGCAGCGATAGGACTGTAACTCTATACGTTAGTGCTCTCATTGCTGAAACTCTGAATTCACCACTGGCTTTATGCTCAAATAACAACGAGCCATACAAAAAAGTAAATTATAAGGAAAATCACAAAAAAGGGGGAGAAAACATTTATTATGATCCAAATCAATAGACTATGCTCCAAAAACTCCAAGAATTGGCATCAAACGCATCTGTTTTATGACCCAAGAATTAATCTTACGTATAGGACTGTTTGGTACCAAGAATATACTATCGATTACCATAGACAAAAACTTAATACGTTCCTAGAAATATATTAGATCTAGGTTTCACCTTAGTTGATTAAGACTTTTAAGAGTGTATACGGGTGAAATCGAACTCGTGGTGCATCCTAGCCTCCGACATAGTGAGCTAGGCTTGAGACATGACAAAAAAGGACTCCAGATCGACCCCAAGTCTCACCGGGCTAGAACCCGGGGCAGAACGCCTGTCTTCGAGAATATCGAAATCATGGTCCCGGGATCGGTCCTAGCCTCGAACGACTTCGAAGAAACATTGTCAGTTATAGTCAACAGAAGACCGAAATATCCGTGACCGGCCGGATATTACGGCGGGGATCTCGGTACGTATCAATAAGGAACCAACAATAAGTGAATCAAAAGATCTTTTACCTTTTATAGAATTGTACCTAGAGTAGGACTCACCTACTATATAAAAATGGTCTCATAATTCATAAAATTTATTGTAACACGTATTCCAAGGCAATATATCATTATTTTCTCTGTTGTTAGTTCTTTTGCTTTCGTTCATCAGTGCTTGTTGTTACGAGCCCGGATCGAGGGCAGATATTTAATTAAGGCTTAAATCGTCTTCCTCGTGTGGTTTGAGCATTCTTCATCCTTATTTATTTAATTTGTCTTTATTTACTGCTTTGTGTCAAATAAATCCGCATATCATTAAAACCACTTACAAATTTAATTGTTATCCGATTTTGAGGGTAAACAGTTTGGTGCCCACCGTGGGGCTGAGGATAATAATGGCTATTTGATACAAATTTCTATAACACATACTACTTTACACTTGTTCTTTGGAGTATCTTTAATTTCATGTTAAAGCTCAAAATGTCAAACTTCAAGTCAACACCTCTACATGTTGATGATGAGTCCGGTCATCACGGCAAAAATAACAACATAGTGCCCAGTGGCGAGGTACCACTTGTTGATCCCATCGGAATTTCGGTCGCTGACCCGATTGATGCTAACTCGCATGTGGCCATCAATGCAAATCTGCCTACCGACCCCGACAATAGCGTCCGTGGTAAAGCCCGATTAGCAGCCCAAAATACACAAGACATTGGAGGGGACAGGATCAATTTACAGGTGATCTTCGAAATGTTACAGGCTCAACAGGCGGCGATAGCCCAGTTACAGAACCAAAGCTACGTGCCGAGCAGAATTGAACCCTATCTATCCCGAGAAGTCACCTGCAGAAACGAACCGGTCGTAGAGAGGCCGAATGAAAATAAATCGGGGACCAACCCCGAGATCATAAAGATGCTCGAGGAACTGACAAAACGGGTAGAATCATGAGAGAAGAAAATCAAAGCTAATGACAAAAAGGTGGAAACCTACAATTCTAGGGTCGGCCAAATCCCAGGAGCACCACCGATATTAAAAAGCTTTGATTCCAAGAAGTTCGTTCAAAAACCTTTTCCTCCGAGCGCGGCTCCAAAGCCGATCCCTAAGAAGTTCCGCATGCCCGAGATTCCTAAGTACAACAGAACGACCGACCCAAATGAGCATGCGACCTCCTATACATGTGCCATCAAAGGGAACGACTTGGAGGAGGATGAGATTGAGTCTGTCTTGTTAAAAAGGTTCGGGGAGATCCTGTCAAAATGAGCCATGATATGGTATCACAACTTACTTCCTAATTTTATTGACTCGTTTGCTATGCTTGCATGTTCCTTCGTAAATGCACACGCCGGGGCTCTCAAGGTTGAGACTAGGAAGTTAGACCTTTTCAAAGTAAAACAGAAGGATAATTAGATGCTCAAAGAGTTCGTATCCCGGTAGCTCAGCCAACATCATCAGATCGAGGGTCGTGGAACAACTCGTCCTACAAGATCAGATCGTACATGCGGTTTGAGTCCTGAACAGATTCAACATGGCATGTGAGACCACTAAAGGGGAGATAACATTACTGATGAACGTTGCCAAAATCATTCAGGAAGCCAAGTTCTATTTAATCGAAGGAGATATGAAATACAACGCTATGTTCGGGAGGCCATGGATTCACAACATGAGAGTAATACCCTCAACACTACACTAGGTGCTAAAGTTCCCAACCCCCGGAGAAATCAAAATAGTTTATGGGGAACAACCGTCCGCCAAGGAAATATTCGCGGCCGATGAGGTGATCCTGACATCCACACTCTCGATATCGAAGGGTCTGGATCCGATGGCCAAAAATGAAGCCAAATAGCAATTACCGATACCTGCCTCGACAGAACCGGAGAAACAAGGGGTAGACGAGGATGACAACTACAGAGTTCCCAGATCTTCATAGCCCCCGACGGTTCCGACGCTACCAAATCAACGGTCGAGGAACTAGAGCAAGTCGTACTAATCGAACCCGATCGAAAGGTATACCTGGGCACGAGGTTAAGCCCCGAGCTCAGGAAAATACTTATTCAATTTCTTATAGCTAACGAAGATGGTTTCACATGGTTCCACCTTAATATTACAGGGATCCCTCCGGAAATAACCACTCACAAGCTAAGTCTGGACCCAAAGTTCCACCCAGTCAAGCAGAAGAGGAGACTCCATTCCGAGGTCAAACATGCTTTCATTAAGGATGAGGTATCTAAACTCCTTAAAATGGGGTCCATTCGGGAGATTAAATACACGAATTGGTTAGAAAACGTAGTGATAGTCCCTAAAAAAGGAATAAATTAAGAATGTGTGTAGACTATACAGATTTGAATAAGTCATATCCCAAGGACTACTTCCCTCTGCCCAACATCGATCGCATGATCGAGGGCCCTGCCTATTCTGGGTACAACTAAATATGGATGAACCCGGGCGATCAGGAAAAAATCTCCTTCATCACTAAGTACGACACCTACTGCTATAACGTGATGCCATTCGGACTAAAACATACTGGTGCCACTTACCAACACCTAGTAAACCGGATGTTCGGGGAACAAATAGGAAAATTAATGGAGGTTTACATTGACGATATATTGGTTAAGTCCCTGCGAGCAGAGGGCCATTTGAAATATTTGCAGGAAACCTTCAGCATATTGAAGAAATACAATATGAAGCTGAACCCGGGGAAGTGTGCATTTGGAGTCGGATCCGGTAAATTCCTCGAATTCATGATATCCAACCGGGGAATCGAGATCAACCCCGATAAGATCAAAGCTATCGAAGATATCACTGTTGTGGACAATGTGAAGGTTGTACAAAGATTAACCAGATGCATAGCCGTCCTGGGGAGATTCATCTCGAGGTCTTCGGACAAGATTCACAGTTCTTCTCATTGTTGAAAACGAATAATAAATTCTCGTGGACCCCGGAGTGCCAATGAGCCTTGAAGGAGCTTAAGCTATATCTATCGAGCCCACCACTACTTCACACGCTGAAGACATACGAACAACTATACCTGTACCTGGCAGTATCAGAGATCACAATAAGTGGAGTCCTAGTCCAGGAAGAGCATGATACGCAATTTCCAATTTACTATGTTAGCAAGACTTTAGGCAAGGCCGAAACTAGATATCCTCACCTAGAGAAATTGACGCTCGCTTTTCTAAGAGCCTCTAGGTAGCTGAAACCGTATTTTTCCCCATATGTGTTGTAACTACTTACCCATTGAGGAATGTAATACATAAATCCGAGCTCTCTGGACAGTTGGCCAAATGGGCCGTAGAGATCAGTGGGTATGATATTGAATAACGGCCCCGCCATTAAATCTCAAATTTTGGCAGACTTTGTGGCAAAGAGAGTTATTGTTGAACTCAGGGACTTCTTCGGGGATCTGGACCCTCTTTACGGACGACGCCTAGAATGCAAAAGGGTCCGGACTTGCCATCATATTGAAGCCAGCAACATGCAATGTAGTTAGACAATCTATTAGGACTGTAAAACTGACTAACAACGAGGCCTAATATGAGGCCATGATTGCAGGTCACGAACTAGCCAAAACCTCGGGGGCAGAGGTGATCGAAGCCAAGTGTGACTCCCTCCTGGTGGTGAACCAAGTTAATGGGACGTTCGACGTCAGGGAGGAATGAATGCAAAGATACCTGGATAAGTTGCAAATAACATTACACCGGTTCAAGGAGTGGACTCTACAACACGTACCTCGGGATCAAAACAGAAAGGCCGATGCCCTTGCTAACTTTGGGTTGTCGGTCGAAAATGATGAGTTCAACTCGGGGGTAGTCGTACAATTCATGAGTTCGGTTGTGGAAGAAGGCCACACCAAGGTAAACTCGACGAGCCTAACTTGGGACTGGGGAAACAAATATATAGAATATCTGAAGACCGGAAAACTGCCCTCGGATCCAAAGTAATCGAGGGCCCTGCATACGAAGGCAGCTCGGATTTGCTTGTCCGAAGACGGAACCCTTTTCAGAAGAAACTTCGATGGCCCACTCGCTATATGTCTAGGACTGGGAGGGAAATTCATGAAGGCACTTGCGGAAATCATTCAGGAGCCAAATCATTGCTTTGAAAAATAATTAGAGCCCGCTACTACTGGATCAACATGGAAAAGGATGCGAAGGAGTTCGTACGAAAATTTGA